GTAAGTATGAGTATGTGTGTGTGTGAGCCATGAGTGTGTGTGTGTGTATGTGTCTGAGCATTGAATATGTGGCAGTGGCATGACAAAAAGAGCTTGGAAAGGTGAAAGGAAAGACGGGGCCATGCGCCATCCACGCACATCAGCAACAACGCAAAGCAGAAAGCATTCAAACACAACCCAGACACTGCACCAACACACAACACACCATCAAACTCCAGGGTGATGGTTGGTACGTCCTGCATGGCGCGCTCCGTCTTGACACGTCGCATGCGTCCCGTCATGGACGTTGGGCGGAGGATGTAGTGGAAGCGCCGGCGCATTGCACTCGTGCCGTCCGCTGGGCACGCGCCATGGCGGTGATGGCGGTGGTGGTCGTGGTGGTGGTTTGTGAATGGGCGTGTGAGTGGACAGGTGGTGTGTTTGCAGGCGACGAGACTACACACACACACATGCTCATGAGCGGTTTGCATGCACTTCAACCAAGTGCACACATATATATTCACACACATACATACACACATACATACACACACGCAGAGAGCAAAACTAGGGCCGCACCTGCTGCGACAAACTTCTGCTTGAGGTTGTAGGGCTGGTTGATGATGTCTGACCAGTAGTCACCGCTGTCGTCGGCATACACCGCAACATTCTCCACGCTCAGCAGCTTGTGCGCAATCAGCTGATGATCGCTCAGGTACCTGCAGCGGCAGAGGGGTGTGCGGTGTGTGCGGTGTGTGTGTATGTGTGTGTGTGTGTGTGTGTGTGTGTGTGTGTGTGTGTGTGTGTGTGTGTGGTGTTGGGGTGAGATGAAAGAGATTTGGTAGTGTGGCGCAGGCGTCGTGCACAAAACGGGAGAAAGAAGGGGATAAAGACGAAGTGACTGCAAGTGTGTGTGTGTGTGTGTGTGTGTGTGTGTGTGTGTGTGTGTGTGTGTGTGTGTGTGTGTCGGAAAGAAGTATCGCAAGTCGTGGTCATGGTTGGTCGTACTTTGGGTTGTAGTTTGCGTCAGCGCTGCGGGTGGACAGGCGGTCCATGATGAGGCCGAACACGCTCGCGCCGCGGCGAGAGGCATCCTCAAACCGCACGTGCACATTGTGGATGATCACCTGTCACACGTACACGCGCGTGTGTGATTGTGTGTGTGTGAGTGTGTGAGTGTGAGTGTATGTGTCATGTGGGTTTGAATGAGAGGCAGAGAGGAAGGAGGATGTGTGCAAGCGCATCGTGTGGACAGCATTCACACATACACACACATACACACACATACACACACACACATACCTGTGCGTTATCGATGATGGTGTCCACGAGCGTGGACTGGATGGGCGCCGTGTTTGCCTTGGCATCCGCATCTTCCTCAAGCTCCTGTTGCAGTCCATTGCACATGGGGCAGCTTGCACGTTAGTCGTGTGTCTGATCAGACGCAGTGTACATGTGTATGTGTGCAGCGAGCGGGTGCAGATGCAGCGAGCGGGTGCAGGTGTACCTCGCACACGTACCACGCTTCACACACACACACACACACACACACACACACACACACACACACACACACACACACACACACACACACACACACACGCTTCACACACACACACACACACACACAATCAGACGCACCTTCGCCTCGAGGGCATTGAGAACGGCGAGGCGCTGGTACTTGGCCGTGTGTGCGGCATCTGCCTCCTCCTGTGCGCTGTACATGCCCTGACTCGGAGGGCCGGCGAGGATGTACAGGTCATGCAGCTCCACGATGACCGCCTTCCCGCGAAGGTTAGCCCAGGGAATCTTGATCACCAGGCGACCCAGGAACCCAGCTATGCTCATGTGTGTGTGTGTGTGTGTGTGTGTGTGTGTGTGTGTGTGTGTGTGTGTGTGTGTGTGTGTGTGTGTGTGTGTGTGTGTGTGTGTGGGGGTGTGTGTGTGTGTGTGGGTGTGTGTGTGTGTGTGTGTGTGTGTGTGTGTGGGTGCGTGTGTGTGGGTGCGCGCGCGCGCGCGTGGTGTGTGTGTGTGTGTGTGTGTGTGTGTGTGTGTGTGTGTGTGTGTGTGTGTGTGTGTGTGTGTGTGTGTGTGTGTGTGTGTGTGTGTGTGTGTGTGTGTGTGTTTGCGTGGAAGCAAGGTCGCGCCATCATGCAGAACGCACACACACACACACACATACACACGCACATGACTGCCAAGTGCTGGCATACCTCGAACATCAAGTGGGAGGTGGAGATCGCGCAAGGCGTCGCGTCGCAGCGAGAGATCCTGTAGCTCGATGTCACCTGTGACACACACGCACGCACGTACAAACACGATGGTTGAGTAAGCGTGGTGTGTGTATGAGACGGAGAGAGTGTGTGCATGCGTGTGACCATGCGCGTGAGTGAGAGAGAGCGTGAGTGAGAGAGTGAGAGACGGTCACATGCTTGTGTGTGAGAGGCACATGTTCGTTCATGAAGGCCACTTGCTGGATGCATGCAAGCAGGGGACAGCAGGCCATGATAGTGAAGCCCTC